TATAAAATGACAACATGCTAATTTTTCATTCTAATATTTCCTTTTTTATTAACCAGAGTAATTCCACACCAAAACACTTCCCCTTATCTACTGTTCTGCTGTTTTGAGATGCAGCTTGTAACGTTCCAGAAGGCTTGTGACAGTACAGACAAGATACATGTTTGCTTTTTTCTTTTTACATATCAGTTTTCAAATGCATGGATTGGTTCCCTCACATCTTCTCAAGGTGACCAATTTATTTTTAAAAATATATATCTTGGGCCTCCCCTGGTGGCGCAGCGGTTGAGCGCTGGGCTGCGGAGTTGCCCGCAGCCTCTGCAGCGCCGATTCGATCGCCAGCTGCCGACATGGCGTGCAGACCTTCCCGGTTGCGCCCGCTGCTCCCCTCAGTAGTGTATTTCATCAGTCTGCCTGTTCTATTCCCCGCTCTGGCTCTGGTGAATTTTTGCACCCTCCCATGCTTCTGACTGTACCCAGTGCTTGCGTAAATAAATCTTTAAATATATATATATATATCTTCAGGGCCTCCCTGGTGGTGCAGGCAGTTGAGTGCAGTGCTGTGAAGCTGTCCATAGCCTCTGCAGTGCTGGTTCGATCCCTGCCAGCTGCTGAGCAACCCACATGGCCACCTCTCCTGTCTCGCCCACTGCTCCCCGCAGCAGTATATTTCAGTCAGTCTGGTGTTCTGTTCCCCGCTCTGTCTCTGGTGAATCCTCTCACCCTCCCGCACATCTTGCCTGTACCCCGGTTCTTGTATAAATAAAAAAAAAAATCTTTAAAAAAAATATATATCTTCATGGATTTAAACAGACTTGATGTTTTTTAATCCTTTGCTGATCTAATTCTTATTGATGATGAAATTGTCCTAGCTGGCTGGCAGGAACTTCTTCCAGTTGACTCCAAGCCCTTTTGTCATCTCCTAGAATGACTGGTTTTCTAGATTCTTAGGTTCATCTCCTTTCTCAGATGTGGAATAAGACATTTTATCAGGATCTTTAGTTTCTTTCAGAGGGAGTTAATATTTAGACACTGCATCAGGGTGCTTGAAATGTTTATTGCAACTAGTATGATCCTTATTTCTAGGTTATTTCAATATGTAGCAAATAATTTTAAAAATACATAAAATCTGTCATTCAAACTGCTACTCCTAATTCAAATTTTGGTCTTCAGAGATTCAAATTTTGGTCTTCAGAGTTTTAAAACATACTACCTTATATGTGTTTCTTCCCTTGTTGAAAATTCTAATTTCCAATTGCACCAACATAATTCCTCATTTGCTTCATGTGACAGTGCAGATGTAGTCTTCTGAGAGTAATGATACCAACCAACAATATGATTATTGAAAAGATTTTTTAAAAGATTTTTTTCATTAGGATATATTCACTAGAGATAGAAAGTCAAACCTATGTGTTTTTTTAAGATTTATTTATTTATTCATTTATTCATTCATTTATTTATTTATGCAAGCACTGGGTAGTCAGAAGCGCGGGAGGGTGAGAGAATTCACCAGAGCCAGAGTGGGGAGCAGAACAGGCAGAAGGACCGAAGTACACTGCTGAGGGGAGCAGCGGGCGGCAGGAGAGGTCTGCTCGCCATGTGGGACCTTTCTCCAGTGGCCGGGGAGCAGCCGGGGATCGAACTGGCGCTGCAGAGGCTGCGGGCAGCTTCGCAACCCAGCACTCAACCACTGTGCCTCCGGGGAGGCCCAAACCTATGTGTTTTAAAGTCTGATCTATGTGGTTTTGCTACCAACTGTGTGTGTGGTTAGATTGATTAATTTTATTTATAGGAAATGCTTTTTTAAAATGTAATTTCTAAACATAATTCCCAAAGTGGAGTCTACTAAAAGTTTTAGACAAAGAATTCTAGCTCCTTTCTCTGTCCGTCAGCTCTGCTTTCTCTCTCCCCCTATAGTTCAATAGGTTAACCACCAGTGCATGTATATAGTTTTTGAAACGTAAATTAAAATTCAACAAAGTAAAAAATTAGTTTGTCAATCATAACAGACCACATTTCAAGTGCACAGTAATATGTGGCCCACTACCATATTGGGCAGCACAGATTATAGAACATTTCTGTTATTTTTATTTTCCAGTACAGATTTGTTTTTATTTATAATGTTATGTGGTACTTTGAAAACAGGTTTTAAGATTGAGAGCTGTAACCTGATTTCTGCATGACTATCCTCTATTTATTTTGGTTGCACAGTTTAGAGACAATGCTGACTTAAGACTGATAACTGAGGTTTTTTTTTTTTTTCATTGATATAACAACATGTAAGTTTCAGATCTATATCATTAAAAATCAGCAGTTCACCAAAGTCCAGTTCTTTCTTTCATCATACAAGATTCCTTTTACCTGACTTATCCATCTTTCTCATTGAATTTGGAAACTACTAATTCATTTTATGAAGTTTATTTCTGTTCTATATGTTTTATTTATTTATTATTTATTTATTTATACAAGCACTGGGTACAGTCAGAAGCGCGGGAGGGTGAGAGGATTCACCAGAGCCAGAGCGGGGAGCAGAGCAGGCAGACTGAAGTACACTGCTGAGGGGAGCAGCGGGTGGCAGGAGAGGTCTGCACACCATGTGGGACCCTCCTCCGGGCCGGGGCCGGGGCGCAGCCGAGGATCGAACTGGCGCTGCAGAGGTTGCGGGCAGCTTCGCAACCCAGCGCTCAACCGCTGCGCCACCGGGGAGCCCCTCTGTTCTATATGTTTTATTTCTTTATACCATATCTTTCATATAACACATGAGTGCAGTCATACAGTGTTTATCTTTCTCATCTGACTTATTTCATTAAGCATAATACCGTCTAGGTCCATCCATGTTGTTGCAAATGGTAGGATTTCATCCTTTTTCTTTTCTGACTGATTTAGTATTTCATTGTGTATAAATACGTTACAGCCATCTCTGTGTGCACTTAGGTTGTTTCCAGCTCTTTATCATAGGTCAATATGATAAAAGCACAATAAATATGAAGGTGCATATATCTTCTCAAATTAGTTTGTGTATTTCTTACCTAAATATACAGAAGAGAACATTTTCATTCTTATCGAAAGTTCTATTGTACAGCCTTACCCTGGAGAACCCATTCCCTAACCCCCATCCCTTTAATTTTTTTTAAAAATATAAAAATTAGGTATAATTATCTATAATTTATAATCCTTTAATAAGTGATAGCATAAGTGACCGCATTTCCTTGTTGTGTCTCTGAGATCACTCAAGATTGGAATGAATATAAAGGGGTAATCCTTATTTAATAGCTTTGGAGTATCATACTTTGTTGCATGGCTGTTTAGTCCCATGTTGCCAGTTCCTTATTGAAGGTAGTTTTTTAAAATTGTTTTTATTGAGGTAATTGTGGTTTACAACATTGTATGCAATCTGCAGGTATAGGTTCACACCTCTTCAAATGTATTTTACAGTACCGTACCCACCACCAAAACACCCATAATCCACCACCTTAGTCCATTGTGCCACCTTCCCACTTTGCTTTCCTTTCCCCACCTCCCTCTCTTTTGGCTTCAGTTCTGTAGTCAGATTTTTTCTTGGTTTAGTTTTTCTTTGTTTTATTTCCCTATTTTCCATGTGAGTGACATCATCTGGTATTTTTCTTTTTTCTTCTGCCATATTTTGCTTACCATAACCTATTCCATCCAGTCCCTTGATGGTCATTTTGATTGTTTTAATCTTCCCCACCACAGTAGCACTGCAGTGCTTGCTGCCTTGTGCATATGTCTTTTTTCATTTATTATTGGAACCACTATACTTTCAGTGAGAATTTCATCTGTGGAATTTTTGGGGTTTTTTTCTAAATGTTAAAAGCAATTATTTTAACTAAAAGCAATCCAATTTCATTTTATTGGTAAATAAAAAAATATTGGGAGGAAATCATCGGAAATTCATGTTGGCCAGACATTTACTCCATTTTGATAAATATGTATCTTTGCTTTGCAAATTTTTTTCAGTCCTAAGTTCAGCTCACAAGAATACTTCCTATTTTCAGTATTTTTTCAGTGAATTCATGTAGTTGAGATCATTCTGTATGTGCAAGTTTGAATTTTTCTTTACCATAATAGTATAAGAAATTTCCTAGTTAACACAAACCTACTATAAACATTTCTGACAGGTGTGTATTATACTATATTGATTTTCACCATACTTTTCTTAATTCTGCAATGATTAGACATTTAGGTTGATTCATTTAAAAATTATACTGCACTAAACAGTTGCAATAACTTCTATTTTTAGCATTATTTCTTGGTATCTAAGGATAAAATTACTATACCAAAGGTTAAAATATGATTAAAATTTTAATACATCTTGCCAGCTTTTGCTTCAGAAATTCTGTGATTTTTTTCTTGATAACCATTCTGAGATTATTGAATGTTGTTTGGAAAAATCTTTGATAATTTGATAGGTTAAAAATGGTATCGGAAGGCAAATATTCCTATATGCTTATCTTTTGCTTTGCTTGGCATGGGTTATATAGTATAAGAAATTGACTTATGTGTTAAGTATGGCAACCGTTTTCCTCTCATGTTTGCTAATGGTTTTAATCAAGTATTTTTCTTTTAATTTGGTTGATTTTTATTTATATCAGTTTTACATATTTATGTAGTCAACCTTAATTTTCTTTATTGTTAATTAGTAGGCTGCTTCTTTACCATCCTCCCCACTGCCACCACTCCCCACCTCCCCCACCCCCACCCCCCCCCAAAAAAAGAAAAATAATCTGGTGATTTGATCATTATTCACCTGTTAAAAATCTGCATTTGTGTCTTAAGTTTCAGGTACTTTACAAGTTATCTGCATAGACTGTAATAGTATATCTTTTCCCCAAATATATTAAATAACAATATATGTGAAAATACAAATGAATTCTAACTTTTTAAAATTGTAAGCATTATTTTATTTTGCTTTTAGTATCATTAAATTATAGAATCTATTTCACAACTGTATGATGAGTTTCCTCCCCCTTCCTTAATTGTAGGGGGAAAAGTGTATCTTCTGGTTGCTAATGTGAATTACGGACTGCAGATACGCAGAGAAGACAAATTTCCCAGACGTGACTATTATTGCCAGGATCTGAAGACTTCAAAATATGTTCTTAAGACTTACAGATTTTTCTGGGGAAAGGAATTTATGAAATTATATGAATAGAGATCATGGGGGAAAGAGCAAAAAGTTCAGATACTGATCAAGAAAGTAAGTCAGGCAAACGCCGTTACTCTTATTGTTCATCTGATTTTGGAACTACACCACAATCTTCTGGTGAGTCATCAGTGGTCAATCCCGCTTCACCTACAAATATTAAAAGAGAAATTTCAGAGAACAAAGTGCATCATCAAGGTAAGCATTTTTGAAAAGAGTCCAGTAGATGTAGAGGACTCATTTTGAGTGCTTAAAGAAAGCTTGTATGAATGAATCTTCTATTAGTATGTTGCCGCCTATGGTAAAATTGTATTATTTTTCATTACATTCAAAGTTATACTATGTACAGAAGAAAGAACCATAAAGCTTTTCACTTTGTTTTCTGGGTTTCTGAGAAACTATAATGGCAAAAAAATCACAAAGCATATACCTTTGTCTTCATTTAAAAAAAAATAATGAAAGGCAATAATATGAAGTCGTTAAGGAAGAGTTTTATAAATTGAATATAATTAAATATACTTAACTGAGAGAGTTCAAATTAAACCTAGAAATAGGATTTGGGGCTTGTGACTACCAATTTGATTTTTTATTAAGCTGTGCTATGATGATAACATGATGATTCATTGGAAACATTTTTACTTAGTAAAATGTTACCAGTCTAGAACGAGGTATATATACCTCATATGATCAAATATAAAACATACTTGATTATGTAATCTATAAATCTCTTCATTTTAATCGCTGATGTACTAGTAACAAAATATGTAAGAACTACAAGTACACCATAGAAAAATAATATGAACGCAGTTTGGTTATAACCACAGTGATAGTTAAGATTGCAAGACAATTAGTAAGTGGTAAAAATGGGAGCTGAAAATGGGCCATGTCATGAAATCCTGAGCTAATATATTGTTTCTTTGAGGCAATAGTTAGCCATTGAAAAGATTTAAGCAGGGGTATAATTAAATTTGCCTTTATAAATTTTTATTTTGAAAAGTAATATTTGGTTTTAAAAAATCTACAAGAATATATATTCTTTTTGAAAGCAGCCCTTTCATGAACCCTTGATGTAGCTTCCCAGAGATGTCCATGCTTTTAACAACTGGGTGCACTTTCTTTCTCCTTCTGCAAGCACGTTGCTTCAGGTTTTTGGTCTCTTCATCCAATCTATCTCATTGAATACCTCCTGTTTTGATTTTGTGGTTGAGAGCATGATCAGATATTAACTTTTACATATAATAAAACAACAGATCTTGGGTTGAACCTTAGAAATGTCTATTTATTCCCAAGAAAAAATTTATATCATTAGGGAATTATTGGTAGAAATAGTTTAATTTTCCAGTCTTTCCCCAAAAGCAATTTAGGAAGCCACCCAATTAAGAAATCAAAACTTCTTAAGTTTTCTGTTATTTGAGAAAGAACAAATGGGATTAAAACAGCATCTCGAAGGCTTCAATTTGCAGATTTGTTTGTTCTATAGCATATATTTTTATTTTTTTAATAAAAAACTTTAATTTTTCTGAAAGAAGATGCCAAATATTAAGAGCTTATAATGAATCAGTATTTTATGATTTGGAAATGTAGATATGTGAATTTCCATCATTTAATTTAATTGTCAACTCCCTAATTTCCAAGTAACAGAAAGTACTTGAGACAATAACAAAATATTGTTGGAAAGGACTCCTACATATTCTGAGACTGTTTAAATGATGTAAGTCATGCACGCATCATAATTGTGTTTTGGGGGTAACTTATCAAGCTAGGGGCCCTCACCTGCACACTCTGGCTAATGACCTAGATTAAAATTCAGAGAGGGAAGAATCTGCATTTCTTTTCTTTTTAATTTATATAATTCTTACATCATTTTTCGTTTTTGCACAATGTATGCATTTTCATTTTGGCATATATTTTTAAAAATAAAATCAATATTGGGTTTTGCATATTTGTATATTACATACTCTGATTTCTGTTTTGTAATACAAGTATCTTGAGCTTTTAGTAGATACCAGTTTATTTTTACCACAGGTTTTTTAAATGAGTCACATTATATACCTGAAGGGAGGAAAAATTGTCTCACATGCTTTTTGGTTATGACCTAAGAAGGGGTACATGAAGAATGTACACAACAGTCAAATATTTTCTTATATCTATTTCTATTTCATCTTGATGGTTTTAAAAATGAAAATAAAGGTAGAAGAAAGCTGGGAAATATTTTTGAGTTCAGATTGTGTGCTTTTAATGATCAGTTTGTAGTCATACTAAAAGAATATACTAAAAATAAATGTTCAGAGTTTTAGGATGTCAGAAAGTTGGCTCTGGAAACTCTTCTTTCTGACTCGTTGATGTAAAATAGAAGAAAAATTGTATCCTGATTCATATACATATATTAACTTTTCAAATTAAGTTTTTATTTCTATGAGCCTTATTTGCTTAGCAGTATAATTTTATATAGAAAAATCTATATAAAATTTGTGTAATTTTTATATAGAAAAAAATTGAATTAACATTCGTCTTTATGTATAATCATTTTTACCTATAAAGTTTGTCACTCTAAGACTAGAGTACATATTCCATGACAGCATGTTGATACCAACACTTTGTTAACTCAGTATGTTGTTTAACAAAGAAAATACAAATGATGGATCCTATATTTTAAAGTTGGAGCAATGTTGTCCAGTGGAAATACAATGCATTCACAAATGCAAACCACATGTAATTTTATACTTAGTAACCAATCAATGAAAAACCGTGACTATTTTAACAGCATATTTAATTCAACATCAAAATGTTGTCATTTCTAAATGTAGTCTATAAAATATTGTATGTGAAATATTCTGCATTCCTTTTTTCAAACTAAGTGTTCAAAACCTAGTGTCTACTTCACAGTTATGGTATATCAATTTGGATTATGGATTATGTTTTTCACATTTTTCAGTAGCTACATATGGCTAGTGACTACTATTTTGGATAGTGTAATATCAAAATTGCAAGTAGGTATGCTCTCACTTTTTATTACACTTCCTTTCTTGTACTCAAGCATTTATAGAGCTAGCGTCCTAAATCAGTACAAGTTCAAGACAACTTCTATAAAGTCTTCCATCTTTTAAATGAAACTTTCTAATGTTAAATTGAAAATATTACTTGTATTCTTTACGTGTTTATATAATGCTATCAGGGTATCCATGGTTAGATGGGTAGGGACAGGTTGTATTTTCTAGTGTTTCTTCTTTTTTTTTTTCTCATCACTCTGGAGTGCATTTCCTTCTTGGAAGAAAAATGCAGTCACCTTGGAGATAGAGTTCATTCTTCTCAACTGTGGCAGACCTCCAGATTTCTCTCTTAAAGGGCAGACCCTTTGTTGAGTTTTCACTTTAATGAACTTTCAGTAAAACAACATTGTAAATTTTTGTGAAATGTAATTTAATATATACACTTTAAAGATTTCATGTGCTTATGCTTCCTTGGGTGCAGTTTTTTTTTTATTTTGTTCTCAAATTATGTCAGATGTTTTCTATTTGAGCATCATACAAAAGAAAGCATTGAGAATCACATCTGTACTACTAAAGTTTTTTTTTTAATCTGAGTGCCAAACCCAAATCTTCACATTGAATATGTTGTCATCCTGTTTTTGCAAATAGTGAGCTATAATTAATTTTAGAGAAAACATACATTTCCACATTTCAAATAACGATCCCAAACATTTTGGTGCAAAAGAATTGAATAATACAATGTTTCAACCCATGTTATTAGGTACCTTGCTAATTCTAATGATATCCATGTTTGAATTATGGCTTCACATCTTATCTGTAAAGTTAAAAATGGTCATACCATACTGCCATCTTTTACAGCAAATAATTAACAATCACTATTGGGATTAGAATATTCTCCACCTTTCTAAAAGGATCCCAAACATTTCTTAATAGAGGCATCCTAATAAGAGCTCGAAATAAAATACCTAAATTTTGTGGAATTCCTTAAGAAATCACTAAATATTATAGATCTCCATGGTTAGGATAAATTAATACTTGATAAAGCTTTCGCTTTACGTCATTACTGTTTCTTTTCTAGCCCCTAGGAAACCAAGCCCTAAGGGCCCACCAAACAGAAAGGGAGTCCGAGTGGGATTTCGCTCTCATAGCCTCAATAGGGAGCCAATTCGGAAAGATACAGATCTTGTTACAAAGCGGGTTCTTTCTGCAAGACTGCTAAAAATCAGTGAATTGCAGAATGAGGTAACTGAACTCCAGGTCAAGTTAGCTGAGCTGCTGAAAGAAAACAAGGCTTTGAAAAGGCTTCAATACAGACAGGAGAAAGCCCTGAATAAGTTTGAAGATGCAGAAAATGAAATCTCACAACTTATTGCTCGTCATAACAATGAGATTACAGCACTCAAAGAACGCTTAAGAAAATCTCAAGAGAAAGAACGGGCAACTGAGAAAAAGGTGAAAGATACAGAAGGTGAACTATTGAGGACAAAATTTTCCTTACAGAAACTGAAAAAGATCTCTGAAGCTAGACACTTACCTGAACGAGATGATTTGGCAAAGAAACTGGTTTCAGCAGAGTTAAAAATAGATGACACTGAGAAAAAAATTAAGGTAAAATTTCAAGAGTTCCTCAAAAGCTAACCTGTGTTTTTTATCCATTGGGTATAAATGTGCTCTGTTAACACTGCTTATTTTAGTCCAGTATTTCCTTGTAAATGAAAAGTGTTTTTTTTTTTTTTAGTATTAGTATTAGATAAGGAAAAAACTTGATTATTTATGAGCAAGATGCAAAAGATTTTATGCATTGATGTGTAATGATGTGTGTTTAATTCTATGGATCTTAGTCATTTGGGGAAATATGCTATTTTATTTGATTGCTTATTTAAAATTGAAATGTTACTATAATAACAGTATACACCACTGACATTTTGTGGCCATTGTGTAAGAAATGTCACATGATCATTACGCTCCTGTGTTTATTTCTTTGCACACTTGTGAGAAGTATCTTTTAGGGCAAGGTATACCCCTGGTCCCCAAAACAAATTTAGAGGTGGGTGAAAGGATATTGAGTTTCTATTCTGAAACTATAGCAGATCTTTTAAAATATATTTTTTTCTTGATATGAGAAAGGAAAAGAATACTACCCATGACAGGGAACTTTAGATTGTATGTATCTATGTACTTATGTATCTATCTACCTACATATCTCTACATCTGTATCTATATTGACCTACCTATCTACGTACATCTATATATCCTCCTGTCTGCCTGCCTATTTACCTGCCTATCTAAACAGAAATCCTGAGTGAGAGCTTAGAGTTGACAAGTAGTTTAGAAAGCAAAGAGAGAGACAATGCAAACTCAGAACAATAAATAACTATGTATTAATTGGGTGCTTTTAATACATGGTATATTATAATCTCTTCTTAATCATTGTAATATACCTTGCTCAATATTCCAAAGTCATACCAGGGGCAGTAACTTATTAAATATAGTGTACATCAGTGGCCAAAAAAAGCACCTTGGTTATTCTGCAAAATTACCAATCATTTTCTGTTTCAGTGTACAGAAGGTATTTTTCACCTTTTTTTGTTGTTAATCATTTATCTCTCTGTACATTTGACTATTTTTTTTAAAAAGAATCCAACAGAACAATCTTTTTCAGTAGTCATTTTTTTACTTTAATTGTGATTACTGAGATACATGGTTTACTTATTTGGGTTATCTTTAAAAGCAAATTAATCATCTTTTCCCTCTACTTTTTTCTGACTTATCCTTCACCCTGATTTTCTATTGATTTCAAAGTGACACGTTCTTTTGTGGTAAGTTAATGAGATATTTTTCTTGAATTATAGAAGCCTGAAAAGGCATCTCTATGAAACCTTTATTTCTCCCTGATCTCTGAGTTTTGCAGAATATATTTTTTTGGCTGGCAGTTTTTATTTTTGAATATGTTATTCTACTCTGTTCTGACCTAGAGTTTACACTGAGAATTTCAATGATAGCCTGATGTAATGCCTATATAAATTATTTGCTTACACACCCACACAAACTCCCCTACACCCCTCTAGCTGCCTGTATTCTTTGTTTTGGATTCTCAGTAGTTTCAGTAAATATGTGTCTTGGTCTGTTTGCATTTAGTTACCCAGGTGTTCTTTTAGCTCATGGACTTGTATATTCAGTTCTTTCCCTGGTTTGGAAAATTTTCAGTTATTTCCTTGAATGAACTCTTCTCTCTTTCATTGCCTTCTGAGAAACCATTTAGTCTTACATTTTCTTTCCTAATGGACTCAGTGCTCGTAGTATTTCGTCTTTTTTTTTTAATCATTTCTCTTTTCTTCCACCTAAGTCATTTTTAGTTTTCTATTTTGTATTCACTAATTCGTTTTCCACTAGACCTGTTCTGTTTCTATAGCTTTCTGTGGCATTCTTGTATTTATTTTTTCACATCCTCAGTCTCAGTGTTACATTTAAAGCTTCATATTCTACATTCTGACTAATTTTATTCCTAAGTAGATTAATTTGCTTTTCTGAGTTTTCTTAGATCTTTGATTTTTTTTTTTTAATCTTTGTATTTCTTTATGGTAACTATTTTGAACTCTGCTGGGGAGGTACAGTTTTCCATTTCTTTGAGTTTAGATTCTTGGGTGCTGTTCTCTCCTTGTGATGCCATTTTAATTTGAAGTCTCAAGTTGCTATGTGTTGATTATTTTTGTCTGCCCATTTTGATAAATATTGTTTTTGTTTTAAATCTGAATGGCAACTTATTGATAAATCTAAGCTACTTATCTTTTCTTTTCCAGCAGATAGTGCTGTGCTTTTATTTTCTTGCTATGGTTCCATGTGGTTTCCAAAGGTACTTAGGCTGATGTTAGCAGTTCCTGTTTCAGTGGATTGGGGAAGGAGTGTGAAGGGGAAAAGCCATGTTTGTGAACCTGCTGAGGGGTGGTCTGGTTCTTGTTCGTGACACCCTTTCTTTCTGGGGTCCCATATCTGAAACTGAGCATTCTCTCTACTGTCAGTGCTCTTTCACAGTGTGAGTACAGGTCCCAAGGTGTCAGAAGGCTGGATATAGTAAGGCACTTCCTTTGTTTTCTTTTTGCCAACCTCCTATCCTCTGTGGAGCATCCCACAGGTGCTCCTTTGCTTTGGGCCTCACCTGGACCAAGGGCCCGGCTTCGCAGCAGTCCTGTTGTCTTTGTCACCCCCCCACTTACTGTCACCTTTACACATTTTCTCTACCCACCCCCCTTCTATCATAGTGAAATGTGGATCACCTCAGCACCTCAGCATTCACAACATCATATAGTGAAGTTTGTGTTAGTTTCTGAGGTGCATGTGTTGTTTTAGCCTCATCACCATGTTGTGGCATTCTCAGTGTGTCACTTTTCTGGCTAATTGTTAATTGTTCCTTTAGATAGCAAACCAAGGCATGCCCTCTATTGCTATCTTGGTAATGTTATCTTCAAAATTATCTTTTTATTAGGTTGTTAGAAAAGTAATGATGCATTTTTAAATAGATAACAAAAAATGTTGTCATGACTTTTCCAACAGTCCAATATATAGAACTATTTTTAAACTTTTTTTTTAAAGATTTATTTATTCATTTATACAAGCACTGGGTACAGTCAGAAGCGCGGGAGGGTGAGAGAATTCTCCAGAGCCAGAGCGGGGAGCAGAGCAGGCAGAAGGACCGAAGTACACTGCTGAGGGGAGCAGAGGGCGGCAGGAGAGGTCTGCGCGCCGTGCAAGACCCTCCTCCGGTGGCCAGGATTGAACCGGCGATGCAGAGGCTGCGTGCAGCTTCGCAACCCAGCGCTCAACCGCTGCGCCACTAGGGAGGCCCTATATGGGACTATTTTTAAGAGTACTGAGAATTGCTCTAACACTCCCATTCTCTTTACCCATATTTATTTTTGTTAACATTTTACCCTATTGTCTATGTACACATGCTGTCATATGCAAATGCTTACACACATGTACACACACATTTTTAATATATATATTTTACATCATTCTTACTGTTTTTTATAATGTTTGCTTTTTCCTCTCAGGTGTAGTCCCTATAAAATTCCCACCACCAATTCACCCATGCACCATTGCCATAGTCCCTTGTGCTCTTCCCTCCCGTTTTGCTCCCTTTCCCTCCCCCTCAGAATGTCTGATTTATAGTTTGCCTGTTTTTAAATTTATTATAATTTTTTTTCCTGATCCCTTATTTGGTTTTTTTCTTAACTGTTTAAGTTCCATGCATCACATCCTTTACCCCTATGCACATTGGTTTGTATTTCCTAATAGGGATCTGCCCTTGTATAACTGTAGTACAATTACATTATAAATTCACATTTATACAATAATTTTCTAATTTTTTTTATACATAATGACTTGATAATTCTTCACTTTATCAGTACAGGATTCAATCAAGAAGCAAGTATTATGTTGAGTTGTCCAGGCAGTCTTTAGCCTTTAATTTGAAACATTTTGCATATTTTTGTAGTCTTTTAATGACAGTATTAGTTTCTAAGAATACAGTCCCCATCCCTTTTCATTTAATAGAACATTCTTAATTTGCATTTCACTGATGTTTGGTTGTTATTACATTGAGGTTTTTGTATTCTTGGCCAGAACACTGAATAGGTGATATTGCTTCATTCTTGAGATATTACATCTAGAGTCACATGATATTCACTTGTCCTTATTGTTGATGTTAACAAAGGCATTCTGGCCATTGACCATCTGGCCAAAGTATTCAATTTGTCCACCATATAGTCAAGTATTGTTTTTTCCCTCTCAGTGAAACCAGAAAGCAGAGTGGGAAACCACTTTTTAAATATTTGTAAATATCTTAATTCTCATCAGAATTTAATATCCACTGATATTCCTATTTTCATGTTGAACAGCAAAATTTGGTTAAATTATAATCTAAAATAGAATGCTATTCCATTAAACATTCTATTAGATTTTGACATAGAAGGTTATGACATCATTCAGTGAGGAAAGTATGTCTTACATTGTATACACTAAAATATTGGCATTAATTTTCACAGGGTGATGAGATTGTAACTTACCCATTCTTGGTGATTTATTTAATACTTTAAACATTACATTTGCAGTAACATTTTTATACATAAAAGGCATTTGTTTTTCATCCAGAGGAATTGTCTTGACAACTTATGTGATTTGAAAATATTTTATTTTATTTTATTTTTTTTTTTAGGTGGCTATTAGGAAATTTATTTATTTTTTTTTTCCCTTTTTGGATTTCTAATTTTTTTTTATTAGATAATAAATTTTATTGTTATATTCCCCATACAATTGCAGCCCCCCATTCTGACCCCAATCCCTCCCCTCCCGCCCCTGCCCCCCTAAAAGTGTCTCTGGTTCATAGTTTTTTGTTGATTTTGATTTTCACTTTCTTATAGTTATTCATTTTCCTGGTCCCTTATTTAAGTTTTCTAGATTCCTGCTATGAGTGAGACCATCCGGTATTTTTCTTTTTCTTTTTGGCTTATTTCGCTGAGCATAATCCCTTCCAGCGCCGTCCATGTTGCTGCAAATTGCATGTGTTTATCTTTTTTGAATGCTGAGTAATATTCCATGGTATATATGTACCACATCTTCTTGATCCAGTCATCTATTTTTGGGCATTTGGGTTGTTTCCAAAGCTTAGCTATTGTAAACAGTGCTGCTATAAACATAGGGGTGCAGGTGTTCTTTGGAATTGATGTTTCTGTGTCCTTTGGGTAAATACCTAGGAGTGGAATTGCTGGATCATATGGAAGCTCTATGTTTAGTAGGTCCAGAAATCTCCACACAGCTTTCCACAGTGGTTGGACCAGTTTGCACTCCCACCAACAGTGCAGAAGAGTTCCTTTTTCTCCACACCCTCGCCAACATTTGTTGTTGCTAGTTTTTTTAATATGTGCCATTCTCACTGGTGTAAGATGGTATCTCATGGTAGTTTTGATTTGCATTTCCCTGATGACAAGTGATGTTGAACATTTTTTCATACGCCTGTTGGCCATTTGCATTTCCTCTTCAGAGAAGTTTCTTTTTAGCTCTTCTGCCCATTTTTTGACTGGATTATTTTCTTTGTTGTTGTTGAGTCTCATAAGCTCTTTGCAGATTTTTGTGATCAGTCCTTTATCATTAGTGTTGGGTGCAAAAATGTTCTCCCAGTTGGTGGGGTTTCTCTTTGTTTTTGTTATTGTCTCTTTTGCTGTGCAGAAGCTCTTTAATTTGATGTAGTCCCAGCTGTTGATCTTTGCCTTCACTATCACTGCTTTGGGTGATGTGTCTGTAAAGATGTCTTTGATGTGCAAATCACGTAGTGTTTCGCCTATATTTCCTTCTATATATTTTATGGTTTCAGGTCTTATGTCTAATTCTTTAATCCATTTTGAGTTGATTTTTGTGTATGGTGTGAGGTGGTGGTCAAGCTTCATTCTTTTGCATGTAGCGACCCAGTTTTCCCAGCACCATTTATTGAACAAACTTTCTTTGCTCCAATGCATAGTCTTTGCTCCTTTGTCAAAGATTAGTTGACCATAAATCTGTGGGTTTATTTCTGGATTTTCTATTCGATTCCATTGGTCTGTATGTCTGTTCTTGTTCCAATACCATGCAGTTTTGATGATTATGGCTTTGTAGTAGAGTTTGAAGTCTGGGAGTGTGATGCCTCCATTCCCTTCTTTTTTTTTCAGGAGAGCTTTGGCTATTCGGGGTTTTTTGTGATTCCATATGAATTTCATCAATAATTGTTCTATTTCTTTGAAGAATGACATTGAAATTTTGATTGGAATAGCATTGAATCTGTATATTGCTTTCGGAAGGATGGCCATTTTAATAATGTTTATTCTTCCAATCCATGAGCAGGGGATATCTCTCCATTTCTTTGTGTCTTCTTCTATTTCTTTTAACAGTGTTTTATAGTTTTCTTTGTATAGGTCCTTTACCTCTTTTGTTAGGTTTATTCCCAAATATTTGATTTTTTTGTTTCAATAACGAAAGGGATGGTTTTTTTGATTTCTTCTTCTTCAGATTTATTGTTTGTGTATAGGAAGGCTACTGACTTTTGCGTGTTGATTTTGTATCCTGCCACTTTACTGAACTGATTGATGAGTTGAATTAGCTTTTCTGTGGAGTTTTTGGGGTTCTCTATGTATAATATCATATCGTCTGCAAATAGTGATAGTTTGACTTCTTCTTTTCCTATTTGGATTCCTTGGATGTCTTTATCTTGTCTTATTGCCCTGGCTAGGACTTCCAGTATTATATTGAAAAGCAGTGGTGAGAGTGGACATCCTTGTCTTGTTCCAGATCTTAATGGAATTGCTTTCAGCTTTTCACCATTGAGAATGATACTGGCTGTTGGTTTGTCATAGATGGCCTTTATGATGTTAAGGTATGTTCCTTGTATCCCAAGAATTTCAAGGGCTTTTATCATGAATGGGTGTTGCACTTTGTCGAAAGCTTTCTCAGCATCTATTGATATTATCATATGGTTTTTATATTTCTTTTTTGTTGATGTGTTGGATAACGTTGATTGATTTTCGGATGTTAAACCATCCTTGTGTCCCTGGAATGAATCCTACTTGGTCGTGGTGAATTATCTTATGGATACATTGTTGGATTCTGATGGCTAAAATTTTATTGAGGATTTTTGCATCAGTGTTCATTAGGGAGATTGGCCTGTAGTTTTCCTTTTTTGTGTTGTCCTTGTTCGGTTTTGGTATTAGTGTAATGTTGGCTTCATAGAACGTGTTTGGTATTGTCCCTTCCTTCTCAATTTTTTGGAAGAGTTTGTGAAGGATAGGCACTAATTCGTCTCTGAATGTTTGGTAGAATTCATTTGTAAATCCATCAGGTCCTGGGCTTTTGTTTTTGGGGAGGTCTTTGATTACCATTTCAATTTCGCTAATTGTAATTGGTCTGTTTAGGTGTTCTATTTCTTCTTTATCTAGCTTTGGGTGATTGTAGAGTTGTAGGAATTTGTCCATCTCCTCTAGATTGTTAAACTTGTTTCCATATAACTGTTCATAGTAGTTACTGATTATTCTTTTGATTTCTGCTGTGTCCGTTGTGATTTCTCCTCTTTCATTGATGATCCTGTTTATTTGTACTTTCTCCCTTTTTTCCTTTGTGAGCCTGGCTAGGGGTTTGTCTATTTTATTGATTTTTTTCAAAGAACCAGCTCTTGGTTTCATTGATCTTTTGGATTGTTTTTTTAGTTTCAATTTCATTTATTTCTGCTTTGGTTTTTATTATTTCTTCTACTGGTTTTGGGGTTTTTTTGTTGTTCTTTTTCTAGATCTTTGAGCTTCGAGATTAGGTTGTTTCTTTGAGTTCTTTCTTGTTTCTTGATGTGAGCTTCTATTGCTATATATTTTCCTCGTATTACTGCTTTTGCTGCATCCCATACATTTAGGATATTGGTGTCCTCCTTGTCGTTCAATTCAAAGAATTTTTTAATTTCTTCTTTGATCTCCTCATTAGTCCAGTGGTCTTCCAGTAGTGTGGTTTTTAATCTCCATGAGGTAGGAAAGTTCCTTGCCTTCTTTTTATGGTTTATTTCTAGTTTGATGCCTTCATGGTCAGAAAAGATGGTTGATATGATTTCAATCTTGGTGTATCTGTTGATGTTTGTCTTGTGCCCCAGTATGTGATCGATCCTGGAGAATGATCCGTGTGCGCTTGAGAAAAATGTGTACTCCGTTTTTTTGGGGTTTAGTGTTCTATAGATGTCTGTTAAGCCCAATTGCTCTAGGTCCTTATTTAGAGCTTTGGTTTCTTTACTTATTTTTTGTCTTGTTGATCTATCCATTGTTGATAGTGGTGTGTTGAAGTCTCCCACTACGTATGTGTTTTCTCTGATGTCTGTTTTCAGAGAGGACAACAGTTGTCTGATATATTTTGGTGCTCCTTCGTTTGGTGAGTATATGTTAATGAGTGTTATTTCTTCTAGAAGTATTGTCCCCTTGATCATAATGTAGTGACCATTGGGGTCTCTTTTTATCTTTTTGAGTTTGAAATCTGTTTTATCTGATATAAGTATAGCTGTTCCTGCTTTCTTTTTTGGTCCATTTGCTTGTAGGATTGTTTTCCATCCTTTAACTTTGAGCCTATTTTTATCTTTTGTAGCTAAATGTGTTTCCTGGAGACAGCAAAAGGTTGGGTTTTGTTTCTTAATCCAGGCTGCAACTCTGTGTCTTTTTATTGAAGAGTTTAGTCCATTTACATTTAGAGTTAATATTGATATGTTAACATCTGTATTTGCCATTGTGTTTGTCTGATTTGAAAATATTTTAATTTAAATTCTTTCATAAACTTCATGGAACATGTTTGAAGATTATGGAAATGGTTATTTTTATCTGGAAATGAAACTATTCTATGCACCTTAAATATGCTATGTAATTTTAGCTCTCTTCATATCTGTTTGCCTGACTGATTCTAAAAGCCAGTGTTCTTCATCACTTTGCTTTAGTTATCTTTGCTCCCAACTTAAAGTGACTCGCCGTCTAAGCTTCAAGCAAGTGCTTAAGAATTTATTTACAAATCATTATATAAAACAAAAGAGGGAAAAATAGGCTAGGTACCTTATTCAATTGTTAGTAAATTCATTTCCCAGTTTTTTATGTTCATACACTGATCCCTGCCTAACGTGCATGTCTTATATAGGTCCACCACAAACATCATTTTGATGTTAAGTGTAATATTTTCGTGTTGAATTTTTTTTATTTTTCTGATATTTACAAGACCATATTTAAAAATATTTATTTCCTTAGATTGTTAATTTTTTGGACAGTATTTGATTTCTCTCCTCAGCTGTAATTCCGTAGTTTTCCCCCACCACCATAGCACACATGATCTCGCCCCTGTTTTCACTTTCTCTGCTGCCCCCTCCCTCAGCCCCTTGTATTTTGTGCCTGAGATCTATGGTTATGGTCAGCTTGCAAATTTTGTTTCCTAACCCTTTGTTCCACATATAAATTAAACCATCCGATATTTCTTTCTTTCTGACTTGTTTCACTTAGCATAATCCCTTCCAGTTCCATCCATGTTGTTGCAAATGGCATGAGTTTACCTTTTTAATTGCTTAGTTGTATGTTGAGTAATTTTTTAAAAAATGTTTTTATGTGTACACAAATCATAGGAACTGTCAAAAAACCTTGAGCTAAGTACTAACAGTTTCCAACGGCAGTTATATGCTGAAAGGAAAAAGGCACATGAGGCTCATGATGAAAATAAAGTTCTTCAGAAAGAACTACAACGACTATATCACAAATTAAAGGTAAGCACTTTATTTTAAATTGCATCATTTTCATTTTTAATAGATTAAAAAAAAACATCTTTTCCCCTAGTTTGGCTTTTAAGTTTCACCCTTCCTTCTCCTTCCCATCTGGTTGCTTCAGTTCTATAATTTATAAACTAAGCTAGTTTATAAACCATAGAAATAGTTTATAAGTTAACTGACCCTTAGTTTGGTTTCACTATATTCCACATATAAGTGACTCCATTGGTGTTTACTTTTCTACTTCTGACTTATTCACTTAGCATTTCCCTTCCAGCTCCATCCATGTTCTTGCAAATGGCATGAGTTTATCATCTTTGATTGTTGAGTAATATTCCATTGTATATATAAACTTCATCTTGATCCACTCATCTGTTTTGGGGCACTTAGGTTGTTTCCATAGTTTGGCTGTTGTAAATGTTGTATAATAAAAACAGTAGTGCAAATTTCCTTTCAAATTAATATTTTTGAATTTTTCAGGTAGAGGCCTAGAAGTGAATTACTGGGTCATATGGCAGATTCATTTTTAATCTTTTGAGATACTTCCATACTGCTTTCCCTTCAGGGCTGGGCCAGTCTGCATTCCCACCAGCAGTGTAGGAGGGTTCCCTTTTCTTCACATCCTGGCCAGGTCTTTTTTTGATATGAACCATTCTCATCAAGAGTGAGGTGGTATATCTCATTGTGGTTTTCATTTCCCTCATAGTAAGTAATGTTTGCCATCTGAAAGTTTGCCTTGGAGAAGTGCCTCTTTAGCTCTTTTGCCCACTTTTTTTTTTTTAATTTTACAGCTTTTGAAAATTATCAATGTTTGTTAAATATTTATTGAAGTAAAATTGGTTTAAAATATAAGGCTTCTGGTTTACAGCATTGTAATTTGGTATCTGTATATACCACATTTTGATCACCACCAAAAGCCTAGTTTCCATTCAACACCAATTGTGGTCAAAATATTGATAGCATTTTTTAAAACTTTGTAATTTTTGTTAGTTTGTTAATTTTTGGACAGTATATGATTTTTCCCCTCAGCCATGGCCACTATAATTCTCCCACAACAAATGTCCATTTTTTGATTGGGTTATTTTCTTTTTGTTGAGGAGTTTGAGTTTTTGTAAGATCTATGGCATGTAAATATTTTTTCCCATTTTTGTTATTTTGTATTTTTGTTAGTTTCTTTTGCTGTGCAGAAGGTTTTTAGTTTAATGTAGTCTCAGTTTCTGTTCTTTTTTGTTTTCCTTGCTGTTGGAGACGAATTCCTAAAGGCATTATGTTGTGAAGTAGTTTAGCTCTGTTCTTCCATGGTTTTCTTGCAGACAAGTCTTTCATCCATTTTGAATTGATTTTTGTGTAGTGTGAGATAGTGATGCAGTTTCATTCTCTTGCCTGGGGCTCTCCAGTTTTTCCCAATACCATTTAATCAAGAGGCTTTCCTTGTTCCCGTGTATGTTCTTGGCCCCTTGAGTAGTATGGGTGTGGAGAACCCACTATTTTAAAACATTGTTACTATTCACATTAAGTTGATACAGTATAATTTATAAAAGTCTTTGATGCCTAGAAAAGGTTTGTTAATCAGTATAATATGTGCCAGGAGAGAAATACTGAATACACTAATTTGAATGATATAACTGAAAAAGATTGTAACATCTGGAAAGAAAGTTATAGGAAAGTTATTGGTTGAATAATCAATCCAGTACTCTAACCCCATGATAGATCATTTTTGATGCCTTTCATTTGCAGGATTTAGAGGAAGTATTCTAATTGTGTTAAACTAGTTATTAATACTATCTAAAGATTACTACTGATGGGTTGAAATTTGCAAAATTGAATGTTGATGCAGATTTTAATAGAATTTTCATTTTGTTAATTCTCAGAGAAGGCCATACCCCTAAAATGCTGAAGAACACTTGTTTTTAAAATAATGGTCTGATTTTAATGCATAATTCAGAACCCACAATTGAAAGTTGCTTACTAAATTCTTTGTCTTTGTGGTGGCTAAGCCTGGACATACTCGCTCTATCAGGTAACAGTTGGTAGAAAAAGGGTTTCCTTATTTACCTAGTTTTCTTTTTTGTCAGTACATTTTAGGGAGAATCATTGTCATACCCTAACCTAGGTGTTTTAGAAATATTCCTTTCTATAGTTGGTAATTAAAAAGAGGAACTAATGCAGGGTTTTTTTTTCTTTTTTTTTCAGTTTAGTAAGGAAAATACAAGTTAAAGTGAAAATTTGTTTTGAACTGAGACTGTACATCTTTAATTATATTTTCAGGAAAAAGAGAGAGAACTAGATATAAAAAATATATATTCCAATCGTCTGCCAAAGTCCTCTCCAAAGAAAGAAAAAGAAATGACATCAACAAAAAGTGGTGAGTAGATACTACTGTTGAAATACTGATAATGTGCTATTAATTGTTACTAATCAAATAAATCCTGAAGTCAGGAGCAAGGGGGAAGGAACTTCTTTAAATTAATTTAAATTTCCTTAGAATTTTCAGAACTCCTGTCAGCTTTTAATTTTTTTCCCATCAAAATTGTTTCACATCATTTTTTTAAAAATTCTCTTGTAGTTTTTTTTAAACTTTTCTGTAAATGTGCAAACCTCCCTGAAACTAGAGAACAGTAGAATGAACCTTTATGTATTGCCTAGTCTTAAATTACATATTTTGCTATTTTTGTTTTTTCCCACTATTTTTCTAGTTTTATAACAAATTTCAGATATGTCATAACAATACCAAATACTTTGCTATTGTTATATAGATCTTTTTTTAACAAAAGTAAACTTTCTTTGAATCTATACGTAAATATTATTACAGAAGATTAAAAACATAAACTTTATAAAATCTTAATGGGATCTGCCCATCAGAGTTATCCACAAATTGCGTAATTACCAGTTAAACAAAACACATATCATTTAGATAGTGAACATATACCAGTTAATTCCATGTCTCAGCACTGTTCAGTATGATTAGAAAAAAATTCTTTTATAATTTTCATGGTAGCTGCATGCCAGAGTGATTTTACAGACCAGTGTACAAAAGGAGTACAAACCAGTGAAGACTTCATACTGGAAGAATTTCCTATAACACCACAAACAGGTGTGTGTTATGAAAACAAATGGGAAGAACCTGAACATCTTACTTTGGTGAGTTTAGCAATATGATTAGGTACAAAACTCTAGGTTTGAAGTTATTTCTAAAAATACAATATAAAAAATTTCAAAATTTCAGCAATGAAGCTAGTGTTGTCTTGTGTTGTAAGTATGCAACTTGAATTTTAACAGATAACGTGTCTGTTTTAGTAAATTCCTTTGGATTGATCCTTAGTTCACATTGCATCTTTCAGATGATTCAGAAAGTTTGTCTTGTATCTTCAAGTTGGAGGTAGAAGAAAAGAAAAATTTACTTTCTACGATTCTTACTTTTCATGTATCCAGATAAGCTCTAAAAATCCTTCTTGCTCTTATGTTTAATAGCAAATTATGGTAATTTTCAAAAGATTTGTTAGAATTTTACTACATTTTTTTTGTTCTCCTTTATAGGAGAATGCTATAGGTTAACTGAATGCTGAGCATAGTAATTCCAGTGGAACCTGACTTTATACCATTCAAATTTAGAGTAAAATTCAGCGGATCAGTTAGATCTACATTTAAAAGGACTTCTATATTGAATACTGGAAGGCCTTTTTAAAAAATTTTAGGACTATATATTTCTCCCCTCCAGTGTGGTTACCATAGTTTTTCTACCACTAAAGCACCCATAATCCATCACCATATTCTCCATACAGAAGGTCTTTTTTCTAAGAGGGTTTTACCTTTAATGTTTACAATTAAAACTACATATACATATATATATGCGATCCAGTATATTCCCATATTTTTGTTACTTGTAAGTTTCCCAGTGACCCTGAGATCTCGTCTTGTGGTATAAAACAAAGGCTGGATGGTTGGTTCCTAAGTGTACTCTAGTTTGTTTTAGTTTTTGTTTTAACAACTTAGACAAGTTAGTTATCTCAGGTATGTTTCTGTATTTGTACGGTAATTGAGACTATGTCATCTTAATTTGTCTTTTTGAAAAGTATAAAGTATGGAAAAACAAAGGAATTCTTTAAGAGGATTTTTAAAAATGGCCTTATCAGGTTACTGCTCCACCTGAGTACTATAAAATACATACAGCCCGAAGTTAGCAGCATTACTTTTAATAGAAACAAAATTTAAACATTTTAGTGTGATTTTTTTTTTTTTTTTGTAGCTTCAATTTACTAATCTATAAAACTGAGGGAAGAGTTACCTTTTAGGGTTGTGATAATAATTATGAAGTTTATAAAGCTTTTAAGACTGATCCTGCCACTTTAAAGGACTCCGCAAACAGCAGCTATGGCGATAGTACAAGCTAAATTCCTATTTAAGAAGATTCAGAATATGTGGCTCAAGCAAAATACACATTTCTTTCACTTGTAATACGCTGAAGGTCATGGGAAGTCCAGGATAGGTGGACAGCTTGTTCCATGGCAGTCATTCTGTCTTATCACTTTTTCACCTTAGAGCACATAGTGAGCACTTCCATAGAGTTGGAACTGACTCACTACCCTCTGAGAAGGGTACTAAAAAAATGGAAGGCAAGGTACTTCGTTTTCAGAAATGTGATCAGAAGTTGCTCTTATTCCACTCACATTCCATCGGTCCTGTCTAGTTGCAAAGGAGGCTGAGAAATGTCTCCAGTTGAGCACCCTTATGCCCTGCTAAAACCCAGGGAACTCTTATGACTGAAAGGAATTGGGGGAAAGAACATACTCGGGAACAACTCTACTATACAAATCTGATAAAATGGCCATTTTACTTTTAGAATTACGGAAGCTTGAAAGAAGCCATAAGAAACAAGGAATTTCACATTTATATTTTTGTTTAAAATTAAATTGAGATAAATTGACTTGTAACCTGCTTAGTTTCAGGTGTACAATGTGATTCAATATTTGCATGTATGGAAAAAAATTCATGTCCCCATCACTTATTTTATAGTTGGAAGTTTCTTGTTTTTACCCCCTTCATCAATTTCATCTGCGTCTATGGTCCTCTCTCACCTCCCTCACAACCACCAGTCTGTTTTCTGTATCCATTAACTTTGGTTTAGAATTTTTTAGATTCCATGTATAAGTGAGATTATATGTTTGCCTTTCTCTGACTCATTTCGCTTGGCATAATGCCCTCAAGGGCCATCCATGTTGCCTCAAATGGCAAGATTTTCTCTTTTATAGCTAAATAATATTCCATTGTGTGTGTGTGTGTATATATATATATATCTCAGACACACACCACATTTTCTTTATATGTTCATCCATCTTTAGACACTCAGGTTGCTTCCAGTTCTTGGCTTCTATAAATAATACTGTTGTGAATGTGGGGTACAGATATCTTTTCAAGTTAGTATTTTCATTTTATTCTGGGTATTTATCTGAAGTTTTAAAATGTACTAATTGGAAGCTTTGGGTACTTGAAAGTGCAGTGTATTTGTCAATGCCTGTGTGACTCTGAACAGGTCAGTGACATCATTTGTTCAACGACATTTCATTAGCCTCCATAGCTGATGAACAGCCTTTTCTAGTTAACTGAACTAATTAGATTTTGTTGTGAAAACAAGGATACCTCTAAAACTTGTCCATTTTAAATTTTATATAGTATATGGCTTTATTTCTATTATATTAATTGATATGTCAAAGTGAAAAAAAAATCCTGTGTATATTTGAAGCATCTTTCAAATGGTAGTAATTTGTGACTAAATGATTTAAATTGAAACTTTGCTTTAATTTCTAACTTAGTTGGTAATCATGTTTAATAAGAGATAAATCCCTGCTAGTAAGTAGCTTTCCCCCCTTTTTCTACATGTGAACTTGCATTCTTAAAAACTGTGTAACAGGGCCTGGAATCTCAGGAGGAAAATGAGCACGAAGCAGCCAAGTCTCTAAACCCAATTGTGGAAAGAGAAGGAAAACTCATTAAAGATCAAGGACTTGATATACAACAGGAGATTGAAACGCTGGAGGATGGTAAGAACATTGAATTAGGAGTCAGCATCTCTTGGGAAAGAAAGGGTTAACATCATCCAGTATCTTACAGCCAAACTGTCAATTATATAGAACAAGAAAAGGTTGATATAGATGAAGACAGTGGTCTATCAGCAGTCACAACATTTGAATGATATTATGAAGGAAAATAAGAAATGAGGACTCTGTTATTTGGAATCAGGAAATAAGGTTGAAAGAAAACAATTCTTTGTGTATTAACTAAAGCTTGATGAAGGGGTAGGTGAAAGACTATCCCTTTATTGGCTTGACCTTGAAAGTGGCTTGTCTACAGACTAGCTCAAACATAAAAATCAATGAATTGTGAGTTTCTGAATATATTCCTGTTTTCCCTTTGGTTTTAATATGTAAAAATAAATCTTTAATTTGTTTAATCATTAGTGTTTAAGTTTAGTGAACCAACTCATAGTTTCAGATACTGGAAATGAAATTCATTTTCATCTGGATAAAATGTCTTAAAGGTATAGGCAAAAAGGATCCCAGACTCTAATCCTTTGAACCAATTTTATCAGTCACATAGTATATTTTAAGTTGCATAGTAACAACTTAAAAAAACCTTTTTCCCATAATGGGACACAGAATCATAATTTCATTGCTGCTTGTGTAAGTAAATATATATTTTTTTAAATTTTTATTTATTCATACAAGAACTGGGGTATAAGCCAGAGGTGTGGGAGAGGAGAGGATTCACCAGCGACACAGTGAGGGGATTCACCAGAGAACAGGTGGATTTACTGAAGTACACTATGAGGGGAGCAGCGGATGAGACAGGAGAGGTCTGCTGCATCATGTGGGTTAGCTCCCTGGCTGGGAATTGCACTCATGCCACAGTGGCTGGCGACAGCTTGATATCACTGAGATTTTAACCCCTGTACCACCAGGGAGGCCCAGTAAATGTATTTTTGTGTGTATATTTAAAATAGTTGAAACAGAAGCTGTATATATATCACTATTCGTTAAAGCACAAAGGGGAGGCGCTTTGACATGTCAAAATATAAGATAAAAAAATTGTGTATTATTATTAGAAGATTGTCACTTCTTTGTCATTTTTTTCTTGAAGTCTATATGGAATGGTTTCTGTCACCAATGAGAATGTATGCCATTTACTAAAACAACCAAATTTGTAGTGTTCTTACATATTTACTGTAATTTTGAAATTATTTCCAAATGAAAATTTAAAAAATTGAAGTGGCAATAACTAGTTAGAGGGGCCTCCCAGGTGGCACAAGGGGTTAAGGCTCAGCACTGTGAAGCTATCCATAGCTACTGCAGCATGAGTTCAATTCCCAGCCAGGGAGGTGACCCACATGGTGTAGCAGACCTCTCCTGTCTCGCCCGCTACTTCCCTCAGCAGTGTATTTCAGTACATCTGCCTGTTCTGCTCCCCACTCTGTCTCTGGTGCTCTTCCAACCTCACCCCCCACCCCCCGCATCTGGGTACCTCAGCTCTTGTATGCATAAATAAATCTTAAAAAAAAAAAAAAAAAAAAAACTAGAGTAATAAAATTAGAGTAATACATCTCATGCCCATACTCTAAAATACTTGTAGAAATTTAACTTTGATTACTGTCTATATTACAGTTCTGTCCATTGACACAATATATCCTACGGTGTAGGATATGCACAGTATGTAGCATTTTTCCCCTCTTGGATATGATTATAAATTTCACTTAGTTCTGATACCTCTTCAGTTTCCTTTAATAGCTTCTTAGTTTTTAAAAAAATGTTAATGACTACAGACCAATTTTTTTAATAGAATGCTCATTTGGGAGTTACCTGAAATTTTCTGTTACATTTTACTACTACATCATTTGTCAGAATACTACATAAGTGATAATGTGTCCTGCTGGAGGTAAGATAGCCAGAGGCTTAATTTTTAAGCATAGTTTTTGCTCCATCCATCCCACCATTTTCCATTCAGTGAATAGCACTGTATGAGGTATTAGAAAAGGGCACCTTCTTCCCTACCCCTATCTTAAAGGACTTTTTTTGGTTAAATATGAACCTTAAGTATATTCTTATTGAATCCAAGAATATATGCATGGAAATGAAATTTACTAATAGTAATGAGATTAGGTAAAGACTGTTTTGTGAAAGATGTTTTTTTCAAAAATAACTGCTATAAAATCCCATATATAAACACATTTTTTAAATTTGATTTTATACAGAGTGGGTAAACACAGAACCTGCTAAAAAGCAAAATGAAAAGACATCTCTATTTGAGAGAGGAGAAAAGCCAGCATTGGAAACTGGAAGATACCAAATGGATACATATCAAATTCAAAATGTTGATATATTGGAAGAGGAGGAGAAAGACAGACTGAAGAGAGAAATGCTACTTGCTAAGCTGAATGAAATCAACAGAGAACTCAAAGATTCTCAGAATCTAAAATGCCCTCCTCTGCCATTGCTACCTGATTTAGAATCAAAACTGCACTCCCCCAAAAGAAGCCCCCAAACATACACGTTCTTGGACTCCTCAGAGAGATTATTTAATGGACATCATTTTCAAGATATTGGTCTCTTAACTACAAAAAGAGATGATCAGCAATCAGGAGAAAGGAGAAGCCCAGCTGCTTCAGATGAGCTTGCATTTGGTAGCTATGTGCCTTCATTTGCAAAAATAACAGGGAGGTCAGATCCATTTAGCCCAAAAAGTGGCCTTTTGGATTTCCAAAGAAATAGTACAGAGAAATTTGGTAAAGACAGTGTAGATTTTATTACAAGAAAAGAGAAAAAGGCTAATCTGATGGAACAGCTATTCGGTGCCGCTGGCAGCAGCACCATTTCCTCCAAAAGCAGTGACCAAAGTTCTCTGGCTACCAGCAAAACAAACCCTCTAAATCTTCTCCCTGGGGATAAAAGCAGCAAGGGCAGAGAATATGACGAAGATGATGACCTTTTTTTGAGTGAAGGAAGAAGTTTTAATCCAAATAGACAACGATTAAAACATGCAAATAAACCAGCAGTAAAAGTAGTTGATTCTGTAGAAGATGAAATTGAAGAAGTAGCACTGAGATGACTGACTACCATATGCATTTTTCCCAATTGTAAATATTAAAGTATTTTAATACAGTATTTATTATAAACATTTAGATTTTCTAATATTAAAATATCCTCATTAAGGACCAATTTTTAATAAATACAGTGCAAATGAAAATATCATACCACATAGCTACTTGGCCAAGCATTAAGGGGACTCGAATGAAACTAGAGATATTTCTTGTTTTTGATTTTTTTATTTACAAAGTTTTTACCTCTTAAACCAGTGCTTGGGGAGTTCATATTAATTTCCTACTTTGATCCCTATTTGTGGTCATATCCTTACTGAGCTAAATGCAGTCTTCCTGCTCATAGTTACATGGAAATTAAGGGTCAAGGGCCTTCTTGTGTTGGCAAGTGTAGCTTTAGGGTGGTGGTGAATCAGTGCTGCTTAGAACCCAGTCCTCTGGATAACCTCTGGATAAGGGCAGGGGTCCCTTACATGGCAAAACTGAGCTACTCTAAAGCGACAACAGTGACAACATTGGGATTTCATATTCTGGAAATGAGTAGCGTTTAACTATCTAGTTTAAACCATTTACAAATCTCATTAACTCACTTGCCTACATCTATTAGGTTGAGTTAAGAAGACATTTGTCTGTTTGCATGGATAAGTCCTCTGTCATGGCTCTCAGAGGCTTGGATACAGTTTAATCAGCAATACAGTTTAATCCTTGTATCTTAGTGACTGAGTATGAGATTTTGTACCAAATACAAGGAATAGAGGAAATTTCATCCCCATTTAGATTTTCAGCTCAATTATGTTTCCAGAGTAATGCAATTTGGAAATTTTAATATCTAATTTTAAGATTTGAATTTACCCTCAAACCAAAGAAACAATAGTGTGATGTTGACATAAAGGACTAATTTTAAAGCAAGCTAGGCTAAAGATGTTTTAGAGGTGTGGCTTCTGCCTTACTGAATATGGCGGTGGTTTTCTTTGTTACTGAAATGCATTGGGCGGTCTTTTGCTCTTTCGTGGCTGGCTTCAGCTGTGTAGGAGTTGATTATGCTGGGTGCGATTCCTGTTCAGGAAGCAGTAGTACACCACCACCAGAGAGAAGCCACTTAAAGAGTGGTGGAAATAGTATGCCAGAGGAAGAACAGAAAATATGTACATTGGCACTTACTCAAAAATGAGCATTCCCCCCCACCTCCATGAATCATACTATGAGCAAATACTATGTATGCTCATAGTATGATTTCTGATGCCAAGCATACATATTGATGATGGAACTAGAGTTAGTTTTATCTTGAGTTTTTATAAATGCTTATTATTGAATATCATTTCTTAACTATTTGACAAGACCTACCTGGTTAGGTCTCTAATTAAAAGATATACCGCCTATCATCTCAATTGTGTTCCTTTCATTTATTGGGAACAGAATCAAAAGTGCTAAACTATATTAAATGTTAATAAAGTTTTTTACTTCTGTTAATATATAAGCACTAATATATTGCAAATCATTCTAATATATGTAAAACAATTTTGTAATGCAGTTCTTGTTAAAATATTATGTAATGTTAATTTTGTTCCTAGCTATTTTTTCTGTTAAATTTTGTGTTAAAGTCTTTTTAAAAAGCTATTAAGCGGTTTTATTTTCAAGTCACTTTAGTCTTTTTTCATACTTGATGTTTTCTAGTCTCTTTAGCCAGATGCAATACGACAATAATTCAACCCGAAATTAAGTTACAGACTTAGAAGCATTATGGTGTGAAGCATAGAAATTGGAGAGTAAACATACAGAACAAGTTATGATCAAACCTTAGGGAGTGAATCATTTTCTTCTAAATGTCAGGTTATTTGTACTTAGAACTCTTACTAATAAAAATTAAAAGCACACTATGACTCTTTTTTGAATGACACCTTACATCACTTAAGAAATACGTAGTGGAAACAGGACCTGCAGGGTTTTTATTTCATTTTTCACCTTTTTTGATTCAGTATTTTTAGTTGAAATAGATGAATTTGCTCTAATCAGGTTAGACAGTGTGCTAGTCTTATCAGATAATTATAGTTTAATCCTTTCACCCTAATAGCTATCGTAATGGCACATATTGCGCATGTTAAAAAGGTTGGGGAAGGAATGACTAAATTGAATCATAAACATGAATTTATTTCATGGCTGACTTCCTATTTTTCTGGCCCTCTATCTCTATACTTATTAAGGTTTTGGTATTCCTGGTTGGCTATTAGTTGACTGGAGCATGCACATTTGCCTGATGACAAGTGGGGGGAAATTTGTATTAGGGTGACAATGTGGATTTTTTTGGATTTAGGGAGGTGCCATAAAATGTCAAGAAAGGAGCTACCCTTAAATCTTTTTTCTTTCTATATAATACATGCCCCCTTTATTTTAAAGTCCCCTTCTATGGCTTGAAAGTACTCTCCTTTTACTAAGGAGCATGTATTAACTATTTGCATGCTTTTGGGCACTCTGCAGTGGATTAGATGCCAGACCTAGTAGACGCAGGCCCTGCCCTCAGAGAGTGGATGAAGCACCTAGTGAGCCAGACTTCAGGCAGCTCCAGTCCTGCTCTCCCACCTGCTCACTGTCCTAGAGTTCCTCGGCTATTGTTAGACTTTTTATAATACTTAATCGTTATGAGGGGTAAATTAAATACACAGCTAATTATAATAACCAGAAAATGCACAGTATATAATGCGTCGACATTATACACAAGGAACAAGTGAAAAAAAAAGCTAAACATTCACAGGTTAGCGATCACAGGACATCTGTACTAAATGTATTTTGTCTCTAAGATCTGCAGCTTGGGCCTTTTCCTTATTAGCATTAACTGTGAGCTGGGATTAATACACTTGTTTTCTAATCCACTGAAGAATGGAAAAGCTAAACTTTGGAAAGGTTTTCGGAAGACTGGCTCAGTGACACAGGAGAGGTGACAGTTAACAGCCTCCCAAATCTCAAATACCAACATCTCAGTAGCACAGGACTTTATGACTGCATCATGTGACATTTGTTTCCCAGCTCTCCCACAATGTCTGTGACACTCTGGATAAGTTATAAAGCTTCTCTGCACTTTCCTCTTCTGTAATAATGGGGCTAATGATAGCACCTACTTCACGGTGGTCGCTTCCATTAAATACAAATACCAATACAGGAAAAACTAAAAACCATAACTTCAAATTATTGTTATGTTATTTTGTAATGGTGAAAAGAGGGAGAGAAAGGATATTTGTTGAATGCCAGACATGACAGTTGGTGTTTTTATGTGCTTTAGCTCATTTAATCCTCATAGGGCTTTTTCTCAGTAGATATAACTTCATTTTTATAGTTGTGATATGCAAGTAATAGACACAGGTAAAGAGTGTGTTCAATAATCTCCATTTAAGAAGTCCAAATATAATGTCACAGAAACAGATCAAATTAAGCAAAAATAGGAACTTATTTTTACTTGACTCTGGAAATCTCAAAGTGTGCTTTGATCTGGAAATTTAAACAACAGTGATTACTCTGTCTGCTTTTTAGTTTTGCCAGGTCATATTTCCAAATAAATTTTGCATTTGGTTACATTTTTGCAGTAGGCAATCTTAAACCTGCATCATCTCTTCAGCTGGCAAGTATCTCAAAGAGAGAATCTTCCCTAGAGCTTTCACAAAGTGTAATGGCTGGGTAATGTTATGTGCCCAACTATTGGGCTGATGTTATTGTGCAGGGGAAGGAAGGACTTCCTACCCCTCTTAGGAATGACCAGGGTATCTGGTCTGGAGGAGGCATTTTCCCCTTTTGAAGAAATTATGGACATATGAATAAATATTCACTGTATTTTTCAATTTTTTAAAAATTGATAGCTCTTTTGGGGAAAACACTAAAAGACAAAGAATTAAGCACTAGTTCCTCAATACACCAAATCCTTAGGAACAAGTCTTTTCTGTTATAGAGGACTACAACCATGAGGCTAGTTATTAAGGGATGAACTATTTCAGTGGTAGGTAAGATGAGTAAGACGTTAATAGAAAAGTCACAAACATCTAGATAAATGTTTTCCCACCTAAATACTTTTATAATATATATATATCCATACATAAATGAACATACTCTATCTCAATCTATAATGAAACAAAAATTAAAAATGGGTAGCCAAAGTAATCTAGAAAGAATACTACTGCCCTTGAAGTTAGGAGTTGGGTTGGAGTTTATCACTAATTACAACTTTGGTCTAATAATTGAACCTTAAGTTTTTTCAGATGTGAAATGGGACTGATCATATTTTACAAGGTTAGTGTAAGGACTCACTGAAATTATGTATTCTTGAGAGAGGAAAGTGATTAAAATAGTGAAGCATGACAGAGGGAGAACATTACCTATTCAACATTTTCTGTTTTAAGACTACCTGTCAGCATTTTGGTATTAACCTCCCCACTGCCAGCTTTTTTTTTTTTTTTTAACAGAATCTTGTGATTGTAGAATTTTGGAAGCTGAACATGTTATTTTACCCTCTATCATCTTTGAATCGACTCTTTATAAACCCATGCAAAGGTTACAGTGTCCCACAGGAGACACTGTGAGTGTTGCTTCTAGAATAACCTGCAGAAGGAGCATTTCCATTCACATAGTTTTGTTTTACCAACTGTTTCTATGGAGAAGGGATAGATAGGAATCAGGATCCCATACTGTGATCTGGAAGACAGGGCATTAGAATTCAGGATGAAGCCCCTCTGCCACTTGAGCTAGGGAATGCGCTGAATTGCATAGGCAAAGGCCTTTTTTCTCTAACCGACCTGAAAATCAAATTTCAGAATTCCCATTCCACTTGGTAACAATCCTGATTAGGCAAACTTTTCACACAATCTATACCATATTTTTCACACTCTGTAACAAGACATCATAGGTTTGAGATTTCTTTTACTCTGATAAAAAGCACCTGAGAGTTACCATACATAGGAAATTGTGGCTATCGAGAGCTTGTGGGTACCTAGAAACAAAGTTCTATTGAAATTTTTTTCCTTCTATAAAAATCTCCCCCAATTTCAAATTTAGCTTCAATACTTGCTTCTAATGTCAGTGATGTCTGTAAATACTCTTCCAGAAAAGATCTTTTAAATCAGCACAAATCTATATGTTCTAAAATATTTCTCAATAGAGAAAATCAGTAGAGCTAAAGAACAGAGGCCAGGAAAACTATTAGTGTTACTGCCTCAAACAATATCACTGTGGTCCAGAATCAGGGACCCCAAACACTGAAGTTTAGTTTTAGAATAAATAGGCACTCCTTGACCCTAGCAGGAAATAAAAGAGTCTCCCTGAACAATACCACAGTTTTCCTCTTGAACATATTCTGCATCGTTTAAATAAATTTGCTGAATACTTAATAGATCTCAATGTCTCCCCCCAGAGCCACAGCTCTACTCCAGTTTTCTGGGGGTGGGACTGTGTATATTCAAACAAACCTTCCAGGCAATCCTAATGCAGGTTTGAGAACCACTGGTAACACTGTACTGTCTGTGTGGGGCCGGGTGTGAGTGTTCCTTTATAGACATAAACGGCTACCTGCAGGGTTTTCCAAATTCAAAGCTAGTACTTGGGAGGTGGGGCCACATTGTACACTTGCTATATATAGATTCATCTTTGCCCCCTTCACACTGTACACTGTCTAGATTAGAAGGAAGCCATTGTCGCTTTTATGGCTACAACCAGTTACAGTTTGTCACTGCCAGTTATAACTGTGTGGTTGTCAGAAGATTTGAACTAGTCAGGGAAGAGGATGCCATAGGAATAATCAGCACCAAAAAGATTGGGTGGGTAGTTCATATGGCATTCTTTTATCATAGACTATAAATCCCAAGCTTCCAGAAAAAGAAAATCTTTCAAATACCCTACGATATTCTCTGAAGAAAAACTAATCTGTATGGTTTAAACTTGATGTTTTTTGAGAGCATGCATTTTGTTACAGCAAAAAGTTTCTTAAATTTAAAAGTCTGAGGAAAGTGTGTGTGCACGTGTGTGTGTACTTAGTGATCCAGCCTAATGGTTTCTATTACTTGAGTTTAAGAATTAATAAATATTAAAGCTATCCAAAAGAATTTAGCCTATAAGGAATGTAAAATAAAAGAAATTAGAGCTACTTGTATTTCCTATGTATCCACTCTTTACTGTCTGTGAGAACAGAGGTAGATAACCAAGAATTACTGTAGTCAATCAGAAGAAACATTTATTAACATAGTAAGTTTTGTTTTCATGAGTTTGGATTTTATTTGCTACATAAAGCCTTTCTCTGACTTCCTGGATTTATGTGTCTTGCCAAAACCAAATCAAAACAAAATAAAACACCTAACAAAAATCCACCCTACCTCATCTAGTACTTATTTTTATGTGATCTTATTATAAACAGATACAGATATGAAGATGGTGCCAAGGAATAGGTCATGTAAAATAATGTAACTATGTTGGGGTAGAGGGAGTAGTGATTGGGGTAGAAGGAAGCAGTGGTAATGAAATTAGCTACATTTCCAAATGTTTCCTCAAGAGAAACATGTTTCTCCAGTGCTCAGTTCCAAAAAAAAGCTTTTCTATTAGAAAATGTACATCTGGATGGGCTATTGATGATGTAGTGGGGTTGTAGTTTTGAATATAAATCTGATTACCCCCAATGTAATTTTCACCTGGCTAGCAACCTCTTAGGGTAATTAATGTATTGGTTCTGATACCTCCACTAATTTTCCAATTTTCAGTGGAATCATAATTTACCAATTTCATTGCTACTGTGGAATAAAAAGTTCTACATGAAATTCCTCCCTTACACTCACTCCTTCACCAGTACTTATTCTCAGCTGTGACTTAATTTCTGTATATTTTTAAGTATCTTTTTGATTAACTGCAAAGTTTGATGGAGACCAGCAGCATAATTAAATCGGTGTATATTGTCAGTTGGGTCTTTCCTTAGCTGCTGAGAGGTTGCTAGGATACTGTCTTAAAGATACAATTCTCTTGATTAACTGCAAAACCTAGATTGTGCAAGTAGCATTTTTATTAATTCATAAAAATACAGGTCAGGATTGCATTT